TTTTAAAGATTTGAATTGTCAGGTACGATTTCTTGTTCGATTATGTTCATCAGTCTATGAATTCGGATTTTGTCAGGATTATTGTGTATAATTTTGCTCATGAAGCAATCATTCTCAAATTCAATTTCTTATTAGAGATGTTATTTGACAGTTGTGGTCATTTACTTTCATGTTAATGGAGATGTTGTACATTTAGTTGCTGCTGGATGAATTTGAAACTGAAATTAAAGAACCCATAGAGGAAGTTGTGTGGATAGAGAGGAAGGAGAGTGCCTGGTTCTTCATTTCACATGCCTTTGTGGCAAAGGTTATAAATCTCTCTTTCTGGAAACAATTGTCGCTACAAGCTCACAAATTTCTAAATTACTAATCTCAATCCTTACTTAGAAGATTTTGATATGATCAGTAACGAAGAATCGACACCTTTTTTCCTTTGCTTATCAAGTTTGTGTCTACCAATTGTACAAAAAATGTTGGATGGATAATGTTCATAGTGGCATGGGTACTATAGGATTTCAGCTCATAGATTATCGATAAGGCAAAGATGGAAGGTGAATGTAATGAACAAACACATGTAAATGATTTTGGAAAATATTTGATACAGATGACTTCTATAGAAGTGACAAGCTATATCACTTTTTCCTAACTTTTGATATNATATTGTTCATCAACTGCAGCTGGAACCTTATCACAAACAGTAAGATAAATCAAACCTAACTTTTGATATTTTTCTGACAATACCCAAGTCGAAATATGATTCACAATCTCACAATAAGAATTGTCACTTTTTTTTTTGAATGTGTGCAACTTTTTCAATGTGTTATTTTTTTAAATTCGTCACTTTTTTTTAGTGTTTGTCACTTTTTTCAGTCGTCTTCTTGAAATTTCAATAACTTTTTTAATAACAAACATCACTTTTTAATAAAAATGAGACTGTAAAAAATGACGCTAAACTTTTAAAAGTGACATTGTGTCACTTTTTAAAAAAAAAAAATTGATAATTTTATCATTTTTTTTGTGTATTTGTAACTTTTTTGAGTTTTTGCCACTTTTTTGAAATTTTTTTCACTTTTTATTGTTT